TTCACCATCTACGTCAAGCACTGCTTCCCATTGATTAGTTAGTCGGATACCAAAAGCGAATAAGTTTTGATCCTTACGGGCAATCCACGCCTTGACATCGGCCATCGAGTCATCCAAATCGACGTAATTTCTATTCTCTAGCCATTTTTTCGATGAACGATTGACGAGATAATCCATAAAAGTTTCTGCTGGCAGATCCTATTTATTGGTTGGTTCTGGCTCATTGATCGATCGCCGAAAAGTTACTAAGATCGCGGAATGACTGCGCCACCTTCCAATCTTTCTCGAAGTAGTTAAGCCTAATTTCGCGATTATGCGGATGGTTTTTCGAGTGTGTTCTTGTAGAGAAAATCGAGTAGATCATTTCTAAAAAACCCGAACTCAATATTCAAATTCTATCGAGAGAAAAAAAGCCGCGAAAAAATCCGCAATAATTTTGCATCAACCTAATACTTTGTAGAAGTAAAGAATGAGGCGCGGCGTAAGTCGGGCGACCCGACGAGTAGTGTAATGCTATGACGAGGCAGAGCGCATGCATTTTTGGTGTCCCAACAAAAATTATCAAGGCCTGGCTGTAAATAAGTGCTTCATCCATCACGAGCCGGGCGACCCTACTGGTGATGGATGAAGTAATTATTACGGCTAGGCCCTGATAATTTTTGTTGAGTCACCAAAAATGTATGCGCTCTGGCCTTGTCATAGCATTACGCTACTCCTTTCCGACTCGAGGGTTTTTTAACTGCTTCATGAAGTCTCCAAAAGAAGAGATCCAATTAACATCCTGGTTCCTTGGAAGCATTTGGGACTATTTCCCACTAAATCGATGTCGTGACCTTCTTCAATGGAGATCAGCTTCGGACCTCGTTCAAGCAGGTTTATTCAGTACTTACCGCAATCGTTTATAGTAGCATTATGTAAGCATTACGATTTTTATCAACAGCCACTATTCGTTTCAGAATGGGTAGGCTTCATTGCCTTTGAAGCGCAAGTCGCAGACACTAACTCGCGGAGTTAAGTGTATCTTCCTCAACTCTCGTGGCAGCTGAACACCGAACTTTTTTACTTGTCCAAGTTTTTCGACATTATCGTTGACTTTTCCCTTGGACTCATTCATCCGTTAATAAGTTCCTACATAGGCTACATGAAGATGGGCTTCGGTCCCTGCTTTTGAAAGACCGCCATCTTTGCTTTCTGGTCAGCCCCTTGAACATGCATTCTTTCATCGTTATCCCTGAAGTGAAAACTCGCTAGAGCGGAAATTTGTGGACCAGTGTTCACATGTGCACTGTAGTAAGACAAATTTAGGTACTTATGTTTCAAATAAGGATAACCAGCAGCTTTTTAACAATGATAGAAGTTAAAGAGGGGGGTGCTCGACTTGACACCCCTGACCGTAAAATACAGAAGGCTATTAAACGATATAAAGAAGCAGAATCGATCAATTACAAGGTCGGAAGGTGTTGAAAGACACGCGTTTTCGGAGACACCACAATCAAAAATGTTTGTATGCGAGACGATCGTTGACCTGGGTGACCCACCGAAGGACTGCAACGGGGCAAGAGTTTCGAAGTTTTTGAGACGGATTATTAAACAGAAGCTTCAATGTCATTCCTATCATATGCAGTAATGCCGCTTCCGATTGGACGGAGAGTGTATGGTTAAAAAGTGAGAAGGTTGCCAACTCTCTGAAAAGAGGAAACATGCTTTCTTTCATCGTTAACTTTGACGATAGGAGTTAAGCGACTTCGGCGATCTTCTACGTAAAAACCCATTGCATTGTGGAAATAAACATCGAATGTGCATCCTCTCACCAAAAGCTCGTTACAGGTGCAGTAAAATGCTATTCATCGAAAGAGTTACGAGCTAGAGTAAGATGCCCTAGTTTGGTCGATGCCGGCGTGAAAATCAAGAAAGACTTGTACTCAGAGATCATACCAATGGACTTACTGAAGCACTAATTTGATTCCGCTTCCTGAAAGAGCCTATGGTCCTTTCTGTAGAACGGTACTATTCCACTGACTAACTACTACTAATTGCTTTCCAGATCTCTACTTACTTGACTCCGTACGGTCCTCGATCGGAAGAGAACCTGTCAAGGTTGCAATCCTAGTTTGGAGTCTTAGAAAGCAAGACTAGAAAAACGGCTGGGATGATATAGAGGAGGATAGCTACGTGCAACATGCCAGGAGTTCGAAAAGAGTCTTCCAATCTCTATNTCTGTGCTAATGGGGGATATCTTCAGATGTGATCGTAGCGTGTTGCACATAATGTAAGCAAACGCGCACATCATCCTCAGCTGACAAATTTCAATACATTGCTACGATTTGCCTTCCACAATTTTTAGACACCCTAGACATGAGCGATTATTTCAAGGTACACCTATGAAGGGTAAGGTTTATTAATTCTAGAGAAAAGGGTTAAGTGTAAATAAAAAGACATTGCGAAAGTAGAAACAGTAAAGCATGATGGGTAGAAAATGCATAATGCATATCATTATGCAATTCATCATTAATCAAGGTTCTTCATTCATTAGTGATCGTGCAAGTTTTGGTGTGGAGTTTTGATAATGGATTGAGAGATTTTTGAGTAACAGACTGTGAGGCCGAGTCATTGTACTCTGGTTGCGGGGAAAAAACCACAACACCTTCTTCCCATATGGCACTGATTTCAAAAATTCTTATTACTGCATTTGTCCTTTATGTTTTGTAAACCTATTCTATCATGCCCGCCTTATCCTATGAGACACGGTGTCAAAACTATGTACATTCAGTAGAATAAAACGGGATAAAAAGTGTCACAGGAATTGGTAATTGAAAGCTCAAATCTCCCAAGACACTTTATCAGCTTTAATCAGCTATTAATGCACCATTCTCTTCAACAATTTGTTGACGATCTAACCTTACTCGTACTTTGCACTCTGAAAAGATGATTTGAAAGAGGAAGTGATCCAATAGGTTTTGCCATTGAACGTCTCTTTTTAACAGTTGGTAGTTGTCACCACTCCTTGTCTCCGACCATCCACGTACTCGTCACACACCACATAACTCGCCGACGTGTGAATGTTCCCAGGTTAAGGGGAAAGGTACGAGTATTTCATCAGCTCTAGCTTTCAGGTCTCTCTATCTGACCCAATCACTTGTTATTACCCCCTTTCGCCCTTGCTCCCCGTCAACACCTTTCCTTTTTGTATCTAACATGTATCTTTTTTCGAATTTTAACACTCTTGGGCAGGGCAGCAGTAGCTGTGGAATTTCGATGCCACACACACATCCACCCACCCACTCATCTATCCATACACAAATATACAGACAAATACATACATACATACATACATACATACATACATACATACATACATACATACATACATACATGCATACATACACACTTACATACATACATACATACATACATACATACATACATACATACATACATACATACATACATACGTACATACATACATACATACATACATACATACAGTGCGATAGTTTTGGACTTCCTGATAAGTTTTACCGTGGGATGCGTCAGTGCATTGAACTCGTTTTGAAATTATAATGAGATTCAAATCCGTACTTGACGATGCGTGGAGGAGAGGAGGGGAGCGGAGAGGCAACCGATACACAAGTTTTTTTTTAGCCCGAGATCAGGCCAGTTGCTACCACATGTCCAAAACTTCGAATGGAAAGCTTTGTTGTTTTGATGCCTATCCGAGCTTTGATCTTCGGGTCATGCTCTTCCCTCCTTCCCTCAAACTCTCTCAACTCCCGCCGGCTGATAGATAGATTGTCATCGATTTCGCAGATGGGTATAAATCACTCTGAGCCTGTTATCAAACAACATCCAAAGCATTGCATTGAAAAGTACCAAAAAATATCAACTAGACATAGAGCTGACCGCGTTGCACAGGGCAGAAGTCATTTACGGACAGCCCTAGCTTGACTTTTGGGCTCTAATTGGCTGCTTGCATAGTCCACTGGCGTGCCGGCGAGCGAGCTGGCACGCCAGCGGACTATGAAAACAGCCATTGTTTACCGGACCATGGTAGTGATTGAAAAAAGTCGCATACTGGTCGTTGTCAGTTTTCATTGTTTATTGCAATGGAATCAACGAATCATTCATTTGCTTGAATATCTGAAGAAAACACTGAGAAGGCTTGCGAATGCAATACAGCTTTACAGATACTAGGATGTTAATTTCAAATGCATTCGAGTGGGAACATAAATAGTAGGGCTTGCTAGAAGATTTGAAAGTTCACCAATGATGTCATTTTCAATCAAAAGAGATTGCGACTCAGTCGCCATTGCCGCTTCTCCCCAAAGCTCATTCTTTGGGTAGGGATTACTGTTGCCCATGAATGAGCTTGTCCGTTTTACATAAGCCCCGACTGTAATTCACTTAGCGCTCTTTTTGACTTCAATTCGGATGGCACGTTGTCGTCGAGTGAATTGCCTGCATCCTCAGACGGTTTCTCCACCGACGGTCGAACAAAGGATTTCGATGCCGATGTGGATGCCCCAATGATGGATTTCCTCAGAGTTCCTGTGCTCAATGTACTATTAACACTGGTAGTGGTAGTGGTCTTCTCGCCGACCTCTTCGAAGACCGCACTGCGCGACACCAACACATGGGTTCGCCGCATTCGCATCAAATATATAAGCAAGTAGTACTGCAGCATCAGTATAGGGCCGAGTAGCAGCACTAGGACTATGAGCACTGTTCGGTTTAACCTGAAAACATCAGTATGTAATGGTTTACATAGGCCTGGGTAAAAACCTAATCCAAGTACTTTTACTGACAGTATGGTAACCGCAAAACGTGAGATGATTCTTCAGCCCCATTTCTCCGAAATCGGTAGTCGCAACACAGCAGGTAGAAAAGTCTTCAGCGTTTTGGCTACAGAAGTTCTGTTTGTAGGGGAAATATTCATGGGAGGAACTAGCGCAAGAATGGGCGAGCCATCTCAACAGCGTTCCGTAACCAGACACTTTCGGTTTATTTATTGCTGATGCTTTAAATGAACCTAGTAGTATGAGCAAAATGAGAATGCTAACACAGAAACATTCTCATCAATTCCATTATGTGGGTAACCCGTCTGCTGTGTGTCCATATACTTTATCATGAACATACGTAATCTTTTGCTGACCTTACGGAAGTTCTTCCCTTTGGGGATGTATTTTCATTTCTGATTTGAAAAAAGGAATTTGATGTACACCGAATCTGCCACACAGTGCAATACTTTTCGACTATAAATTCCTCAGGTAGAGCTCACATAGATGTTAAATGGTTGCCTCATCGAAAAAAAAGTTCACTTATGCGGCTATGCTACTTAAAGAAGCTGTATCTACCCAACAGAAGCAAGTTAGCATGCCCCTTGTACGGGGTGCGCCATAAATATGGTAACAACTTTTCGTAACTCCGTCATTTCCTTGTTTGAAAGGTTTCTACAAATCTGCACCTTTCCTTATGTATATGATAAACCTTAGGCCACATATCTATTTTGGTGCTCCCAATTCGTCAGATTTCGAAAAACGGTGGAGCCTCGCAGACATCCACCAATAGTTTTCCGCCTTTGCGCGCATTTGGTGAGTCCTTTTCCGGAATCGCTCCTCTTTTAAACATTTCACACATGACAGTCTCTCAAATCGCGACGCGTAGACAGTTCAACGGTAAACGTCGAAAAGGTCCTCTTGTCTCGCATACTACCCCTTTTCCGAATACAATTGCTGCTGCGGAACCTGCAGAAACACGATAATAATGACCTGTGATTTGTTTGTTTGTTCCACTCCAATGAGAAGAGTTTACCCCGAGTAAATACATTGTATCCAGATGGAGTTCGAATGTTTTGTAAGCTTCTTGGCGTGAAGAAGTTAGAGAGAAAAAACGTATGCGGTGTGTTACTTGCGCGCCGCACGAGCTTTGCCACACTTGTTTCTGACTAAAGGGTGTTCAGCGGGTAAGAAATTTTGAGATCCCAGAGTATACATAAATCTCACACTACGAGTGTTGAAGCCGATGAAAAGAGTGATCGTCCCTCGTAGCTGTTTTCCCTCTTTCATGATAGTTTGGGCTAGAATCTCTACCATTAGAGCGATATCGCAAATTTTAGACAAGATTTTAGGGATACGTTTTGAAAACTACGGCACACCCGCTCACAAAAAGAAAAGATCAAGACTGGTGCTGAAGAAATGTTCGCGATTGTATCCCAGCTTCCAATCCTCCTACGAATTTCCCGGACAACAGCGTAATGGGTCGCTGGATGTAGCCCATACTTCAGAGGAAAGCGTGCGCCCTCGAAACGCACCATTGTTGCTGCTCCTGAGAAATCATGAAAGAAGTCCGGGCTGGAGTTTCTTAAGAAACTCCGCNTCCCACCGTCGATGAGTAGCCGAAGCGTCTTCGAGCTCTGATTTCTGCACAAGACGGTTATATTGAATCACTGTGTTCATGTTGTAGATGCCATGCATAGTAAATAACTCACATTAACTCACCATGTATCAACACAAACTACGGTTTCTGTAGCCCAATTCCTTTGTTACCATATTTATGGCGCACCCTGTGTAATGTCCTTTTGACGTCGTTCAAAAGTTGGTTCCATTCCCTATATTGGCTACAAACTAAACTACTTATGTAATTTCAATTAGGAGCATCATCAGTGACTGGGAGCTTGAAGAATTCATATGCCGTTTCTAACACTTTCGGCGTTTTGAGTCTTCGTTGATTATATTATCCATCAGCTTTCTCGTTATGATACCTGTAGCTCCTCTTCGAATTTAAAAATCTTCTTTTCGTCGCCGACTCCACAACAATCTTTTCGGGTAGGTGCTGCAGTGCTTCTCTTACACCTCTGAAAGGCAGAATCAGCCTCTCAGGCCTTACCCGATTGCAGGTTTTTTTAAGAGTGTCGTGGAGATGCCCACCTATAATACGAATTATTATCATTATTACCAATATTGATTGTTATTATTGCTATTAATAATAATAATATAACAATAATAATATACTAATAATATAACAATATAATAATAATATAATAATATAATAATATAATAATAATATAATAATATAATAATATAATAATATAATAATATAATAATATAATAATATTAATGCTATAGTAATAATATAATGATAATAATGATATTATTATTGTTATATACTATTGTTATCGTTGCTATTATTATTACTATTATTGCCATCATAATTGCTATTTTTACTATTGCTATAATCATTATTATTGCTATAATCTCTCTCATTTATAAAGCAGAAACTTGGTGTGTCGGT